CCAAACCTATATCTACTCGTGGGTGTACTCGCATATGCCATCCCACACCTGTTCAGCTTACATATCTACCGATGTATACACTTGTAAATTATTGTTTGTTATTACTGTTACTGCAGGATTGTGTATGTAACAGTATTTACTGTTGTTGCCTTTGATGCTTGCATACCTCTCGGTGTCTTCCTTTGCCTTGGTCATGTTGTGCTGGCTTTCCTTGTATTGTGTAGTGTCTTTCCCTTCACCCAAGTTAATATGTGTCTACTATCTAGTTAGTTATTTTCCCTCCCTCCCCCTCCCATCCCTGGTAACAATCAAAGAATGTTATTTTCTGCATATAAATCTTTTCTTGACTTCTTAAATTGTGTTCTCATACAATATTTGTCCTTTTGTGATTGACTTATTTCACTTGGCATAAAGTCTTCCAGGTTCACCCATGTTGTGAAGTGTTTCACTGATTCATTGTTATTCTTTAAGGTTGTGTAATATTTCATTGTGTGTACGTTTATCCATTCATTCATTGATGGGCACTTAGGTTGTTTCCATCTTTTTGCTATTGTGAATAATGGTGCAATGAACATGTGTGTGCATGTATCTATTTGTGTCATGGCTCTTACTTCTCTAGGGTATATACCTAGAAGTGGGATTGCTGGATCATATGGTATTTCTGTTTCTAACTTTTTAAGGACCACCATAGCATTTTCTACAGTGGTTATACCATCTTACATTTCCACCAGCAGCGTACGAGAGTTTCAGTCTCCCCAGACCTTTGCCAACATTTATTGTTTTCTGTTTTTTTGATCATTGCCATTATTGCCAGGGTGAGGTGATATCTCATTCTTCTTTTGATTTGCATCTGTCTAATGGCTAACGATCACGAGCATCTCTTCATGTATTTGTTGGATGCCTGAATGTCTTCTTTGGTGAAGTGTCTGTTGATGTCTTTTGCCATTTTTTAAGTGGATTGTTTGTCTTTTTGTGTGAGGTCTGGATCCCGTTTCATTTTTTTGCAAATGGATATCCAGTTTTGCTGGCACCATTTGTGTTGAGGTGTTGAAGTTTTCTATAAATTTTAGAGATTACTCCATTGTCAGATATGTCGTTGCCAATTTTTTTCCCCCAGTCTGTAGGTTCTCTTTTTACTCTTTTGGAGAAGTCTTTTGATGTACATAAGTGTTTTTTAATTTTTAGGAGGTCCCAGTTGTCTAGTTTGTCTGCTGTTTGTGCATTTTTAGTTATATTTGGTACTCTATTTATGCCATAAATTAGGGCCCCTAGGTTTGCCCCTATTTTCTCTTTCATGATGTTTATATTTTTAGGTTTTACATTTAGGTCTTTGATCCATCTTGAGTTAGTTTTTGTGTAGGTGTGAGGTATAGATCCTGTTTCATTTTTCTGCAAATAGATATCCAGTTTTGCTAGCACCATTTGTTAAAGAGACTATCTCTTCCTCATTTAATGGATTTTGGCTCTTTGTGGAAGATCAGTTGCCCACAGGTGGATGGATTCACTTCTGGATCCTCAGTTCTGTTCTATTGGTCTGTATGTCTGTTGTATCATCAGTACCAGGCTGTTTTGACTACTGTAGTTATATAGTGGTTCTGAGATTGGAAGTGTGAGGCCTCCTACTTTATTCTTCAGTAGTGCTTTGCTTATCTGGAGCCTCTTTCTTTTCCATATAAATTTGGTAATTAGTTTTTCGATTTCATTAAAGAATGTTGATGGAATCTGGATCGGGATTGTATTATATCTATAGATCACTTTGGGTAGTAATGACATTTTCACAATGTTAAGTCTTCCTATCCATGGGCATGGTATGTTTTTCCATTTATGTAGGTCTCTTGTTTTCTTGCTATAGTATTTTGTAGTTTTCTTTGTATAAGTCGTTTACATCTCTAGTTAGGTTTATTCCTAAGTATCTTATCTTTTTTGGTGGCTATTGTAAATGGTATTGTTTTTCTGATGTCCTTTTTGGAGTTCTCCTTGTTAGTGTAAAGGAATCTGACTGATTTTTGTATGTTGATCTTGTACCCTGCCACTTTGCTGAATCCTTCTATTAGTTCCTGTAGTTTTCTTGGATAATCTGTAGGATTTTCTGTGTATAGGATGATATCATCTGCAAATAGGGATAGTTTTACTTCTTCCTTACCAATTTGGTTGCTTTTTATTTCTCTTTCTTGCCTTATTGCTCTGGCTAGACCTTCCAGTACAATGTTGAATAAGAGTGGTGATAAAGGGCATCCTTGTCTGGTTTCCATTCTCAAAGGGAATACTTTCAGTGTCTTTCCACTGAGAATAATGTTGGCTGTTGTTTTTGTATATATGCTCTTAATAATGTTGACGAATTTCCCTTCTATTTCTATTTTGCCAAGAGTTTTTATCAGGAATCTGTGTTGGATTTTATTGAATGCCTTTTCTGCATCGACTGATATGATCATGTGGTTCTTTCCCTTTATTTTATTTATGTGGTTTACATTGATTGATTTTCTAATGTTGAACCATCCTTGCATACCTGGTATGAATCCCACTTGGTCATGATGTATTATTTTTTTGATATGTTGTTGAATTCTGTTGGCTGGGATTTGTTGATAATTTATGCATCTATATTCATGAGGGATATTGGTCTATAATTTTCTTTTTTTGTGGTGCCTTTGCCTAGCTTTGGTATCAGGGTTATGCTTGCTTCATAGGATGAATTTGGAAGTATTTTATCCTTTTCTATGTTCTAGAATAGTTTGGGGAGATTTGGTGTCAGCCTGTCTCTGAATGTTTGGTAGAATTCTCCAGTGAAGCCGTCTGAGCCAGGTTTTTTCTTTTTTTTTTTTTTAAATAACCTCTTCAGTTTCTTCTTTCATTATGAGTCTATTCAAATTTTCTACCTCAGTTTGTGTTAGTTTAGGTAGCGTGTTTCTAGAAATTTGTCCATTTCTTCTAGGTTTTCAAATTTGTTGGAGTACAGTTCTTCATAGTATTAAAAAAAATATTTCTTGAAAACCAGCAAAATCCAAGCACAATTCTAGGGTTCCAGCCAATCCATTATAGGCCTGTTCCAAATGAAAGAAAGTAAAAGAGAGATCTTTTAAACAAAATCCATGGAAAATAACTTTAATAGGTCCCACTCCTTCCCACTAAATCTTTGCGGGGAGTGGAACTTTTTGGGATAATTCTGATGAGTGGCTTGATTCGGAAAACACTGAGTTAGTCTCCATAATGAATTATTCGCACTCCTCAGTTCCTTTTCAACTCATTGTAATCTGGTTTCCTGCAACATCTTAAAGCCAAAAGTGCACTTACTAAAGTCAGAAATGATGATCTGGTTGCCAGATTCACTAACTTATTTTCTGCTCTTGCCTTACTTGACCTCTTCACAGAGATCTGTTAACTGTTGATTACCTCCCTGAATCTCCTCTTTTGCTTTTCATAGTCAATCTCTTTGCTAGTTCCTCTATGGTTTTGTTCTGGCTGCCCCATTCATCCTTTAAGAGTGTAGATTCTCCAGTATTCTGTGGTTGGAGTTGGACCTCTTTCTTCTATTTCCCTGGAACATCTCACCCTTTGCTGAGGTTAAACTACCACCCGTACACTGATGGTTCCAATCTATTTCTGCATTCCAGATCTTTCTCCTGAGCACCAGGCTTATACGTCAGCTGCCTGCTGGACATCTGGAAGTATCATGACACCTCAAACTCTACAAGTTCGAAATGTATCTTGTCTCTCCACCAAACTTGTTCACTTCTAATGGATATCCGTGCCATCGCCAGATCTCCAAACTAGAATCCTTGGTATCGTTCTCTATCTCTCATCTCCTACTCTATTCATTCACCAAATATACTCCACTTCAGAAATAACTTGAATGTGACTATCTCATTCCTCTCTCTTGTCTCTTCTTCTTCCCTCTTCCCTTGCCTTAGAACAGGACCTCATCCTCTTTTGTTATTACAACTTCCCTGTGTGTTCATCCTTCCAGCTGATACCAATTAGGGATTTCTTTAAAAAGGCTTAAGGAAATCAAAAGAGGCTCTTTTGAGTCTCTCTTTCCTACATAATACAACTCCAATTCTGTCTCACTTCTGGCCATCCCTCTGCTTGACCCTAATCCCTATCTCCTTGTGTTTACCTCATACTGAACTTCTGGAGAGACGTTTACTACCTGCTATTTCCCAGGGCTCAGTAGACAAGCAATATGTAGTTTTCAAATACATTTTATTCTGTTCAGTAAATTAAATATAACCACATGTATCTTTATAATTCTAATGTGCATAATTTCATATCCCAGGATAGGAATCACACCGTGCATACATTTCAGGGTTAAAAATCAAAGTTAGTCTAATACTCATGATAGGAAGAAGAATTTACATAATCATGAATTCTCCTTTGCTTTATGCTTCCCTTCAAATCAAAATATTAATTTTATCTTTGATAAGGTGTGTTTTCACGCAGACCCCCACACACAATTTATGTATATTTGGGGAACAGCAAACATCCTTGGCCATAGGCAAAGCATAGTCTTTTAGATCAAGAAATACAGTCACCCTGTGAAAACAGGTCATTGGTTCAACATTTCCTGGACACATTCATGCACTCATCTCCATGTCCACTGAGTCTTCCCTGCAAATCTACCCAGAATCCAAGCTAACTCTCTGGTGGATGTGACAGACTGGTTTTATGCAGCCAGAGAGAAGGATTAATGATCTCAGCAACAAGCTGGCATGTTCAAGAGATTTAATTTTTTTTTTTTTTTATATAACAGTTTTAGCCAAAGCTGTTCTAGGACTCAGCGGAAGCAAAATTTAGCAGGAAGACAAACTTCTTGACTAATGGCCAATCACTAAGCAGCAGGGAAGGAAAAGCCTTGGTGGATGTGTCACAGCTGGGGTGGCGGGGTGGTGGTTGTGTGTGTGTGTGGAAAGCATCAGTATTAGATATTAAATCTGGGCAATCAGTCTTGCTAGCCATGCCCTCATGGTCCCTCTGAGAAGTGCTGTCACCAGGCAGCAGACAGAATCAATGGTTAAGCCAGGGGGGATTTGCCCCGCCGCAGGTTACTGGAAAGCAGCTTGTTCCATTATAGACATCCACAAAATGCCTTATTTTACAAGACTCATTTTGTTCTTGTTTTGCCTGGTGGTTCTTGTGGAAAGCAGAAAGCCCAGGAGGAGGAGATGGACAGGGCAGCTGGAAATGCCCAGGCCAAGGTAAAGTCATCAGTTGGGGAGGGTGGGGAGGGCACTCCTCACAGAGGTGCACAGTGAGACAGTTCCCAGGAGGGCTGGGGGTTACAGCATCCTTATGGGAATCTGTTTTCCCTCTGGAGATAGAGGGGGCCTCTACCTCAATGAAGACAGCCTCTCACTGGGCACAAATACTTCATTGTGTGAAAACAGTGAGAGAGCAAAGCTACGCTAGGTTGAGCCGTTCCTTCTGATGCCTATGTTCAGCTTTAAGGCAGATAAAGGAAATCTATTCAAGGAAGACTTAGTGGCTAAAAAACTCCCTGTAGTTTTCCAATTGTGCTGCTTTGTTTCTCAAGATTATATCCTGTAGGGACCATGTTATTGTTGTTAGTTGCTGTCAAGTCGATTCCAACTCATGGTGACCCCATGGGTATCAGAGTAGAATTATAGTCCACAGGGTTTTCAAGGCTGTGACCTTTCAGAAGCAGATTGCCAGGCCTGTCTTCCAAGGTGCCTCTGGGTGTGCTTCAGCTGTGAGCTTTTCAGCTAGTAGTCAAGTGCTTAACCATTTGCACTACCCAGAGACTCCATAGGAGTCATAGATGGCCATATTACATCTGTAACAGGTGATTACACCCAAGCATTCTTTAGGTAACTATATACAGGATTTTAGCATGAACGATTAAGAAAAATTGTAACCAGAGTTGCCTTCCTTAAATATTTGATTGGGAATAATCTTGTAATGGTATTGGGTTTCATTTTATTGTTTTGAATCTTAGAAAAGGTGTTTATAGTTTGCTAGATTATCAGAAATATGTGTATAGACAATAGGGAATGCCGTTTCATGATGTAATGGAAACATTTCCAGTAAATATTGGTTAGGCCCAGAATTTGCATTCAGCATCATTATATTACAAATCTAGGTTTCTTAATAAGTTTGTTTCAAACTGAGGTACAAAGCATGATACTCCAGGCCTGATGTAGACATAAGAACTGTAAAATACATGAAGAGAAGAGTAAACAGCTACGATATAAACGCCATGTGTGAGATACTACACACCTATTTTCCATTCTACTAAGCATCCAGTGAACTAGTGGTTTTGAATATAAAATAATATTTTCTTCAACCACATTTTCTAGGTCAGTGGTCTCCAAACATTTTTAATCATGCACCATTATCAGTGAAAACTTTTTGAGACTATGCCTCCAATATATTTATTGACAAGTTATATACATATATTTTTATAAATATGTGTATGAAATAAAAGCTGATTGCTTCCTTATTTTTAGATAAAAACTAAATATAAATAAAAGTTATGATCTCTACCTCCCACACCCCAGGGGCCGTCTTGAGCACCACAGGTGCTTACCCCTGCTTTGGAAACCACGGTAGTAAGAGATATGTCAGTATTCTGTAGGGCCTAGTGCTTCTCAGTCAGAAAGCAGACAGATAAAACTCTCTAGAATGATGGGAAAGAGGAATTTCTCTGGAAGTTCCTCCTAGTTATGTTGCCGGAATCACAGGTTGTTGAACTGGAAGATACCTTAGAGGTCACCCGATCCAGCAATTCCCCCGAGTTCTAATTCTGTGAGATGTTAATAGATGTTGGGTGAAAACGGGGTTTCTGGATCAAAAACCTTGGGACACTGGTTTAGACCATTTTAAACAGATTTCTTTACAAATGACACTGTGAATTTTGAAGAGGGAGATAAATTATGCAGTGTTTCCTTCTCTAAAAGAAAAACCAAAAAAAAGTGCACTTTTTTGGGGACTATGTTTTGGGACTCATATTTCACGGAGCACACATTGGGAATCTCTGTTCAAATCAGCTCATTTTACCGATGTGGAAATGGAGGCTCAGAGGCAGGAGCAGTTCACACAGCTTGTTAGTCGTTGCACAGAACTAGACCATAGGTTCTCAATATACTCAGACTGGAGGAGGAGTGCTGTCTGAAACTGTTCCCCTGAGAACCAGCTGGCGTTCAGCATGACCCAGCCGGCAGCCTTGGCTGTCACACGTCTCTGTCATCTCTCCTCAGGAGACCCACATTCTCGTTCTCAGACACTGGCATGAGCTTGGAGACAGGTTGAAACTGACTCTCAGGGGTGAGGAGAATTCCTTGAAATTCATTGCCCCCCTCCCAGCCAAAAAATAAAACAAAAAACCATTGCCGTCTAGTTGATTCCAACTCATAGTGACCCTTTAAGACAGAGTAGAACTGCCCCATAGAGTTTCCAAGGAGCAGCTGGTGGATTTGAACTGCTGACCATTTGGTTCACAGCCGTAGCTCTTAACCACTGCACCACCAGGGCTTTGAAACTCATCCCATGAGGTGTTAAAGTGAATGAAAAGATCAACGTATGCATTCAAAGAAAATGAGATAATTACTGAACTGAGGCTGAAAGGATAGGGGAAATGTCGCATCATGGAACATGGCCCTAGCCCTTTCTGCATCCACTAGGGCATGCATGTGATCAGACAATCATAGAACTATGTCTCTTGGTGAAAAATTTCAGCCAAGCATCTGACAATTTATTTTTTCAGAACTACTTCCATTGTTGACACGCAAGGATTAAGCTATACTAATAAATAACAGGAATAAAATGGCCTGACCCTTGCTGCCTGTAGTCTTAGAGTTCGTTATCTCTTTAGGATTTTTGTGTTTCACACACAAAAACACATACACGGCCACACACACAGACATACACATACACCCCACACATGGTCTCACACACACACAACACACAAGATCACACTCACATATATGCATAATACCCATGGTTGCACACTCACATACAGCCACACACACTCACTCATCACACGTGATTACACACAGTCACATGATCACAGCTACACGCACACATATATTTACATGCATTCACACCCACACGTATAATCATACGGACACACACTCATGCCCAGTCCACACACATACTCACATACAGCACACGGTGCACTTATACACACACTCGCACTCACACACACTGTTAGGACCTCTTCTAATCTTCTGCAAGCCTTCCCTCATCACCCTGAGCACGGCATCCACACAAAACAATTATTTTGCCCAGCAGCTTGTTTTTAAAATATTACTTTCGGTTTTCGATCCTTTGTGTTCCTGGTTATACAATTGTTGCTGAGTGCCTGTTTTCTCTTCATTGTTGTTTTGTGCTTTGTTTTGTTTTTCCTGCCTCTCAGCTTCCCAGCTTTATTTCAACTTTTCCCTGCCCTGCTGCCTGGCAGGGTCCTGACCACGTGATTGCTTTCCTGCTCAGAGGCCCTTCCCACTTGTGATCTGAAATGCAAAGCAAACTTTAGGCCATGGGATTCTGGGCTTTGCCCTGGATAACACCATCTGGCCCCTCGCGGTCTCGGAGCCTGGGGTCCCCTTTAATTTTTCCTTTTCCCACTTGCTTTCTGCTTGGTGCCTCCTGCCCTTGGTCATCCTTCTCTTAGTTTGCATTATGGCCCACGTTTTTGCTGAACCCAGGAAACCCAGTGACCCTCATTCCTCCCCAGAGAGGCCCAGGGAAAGAAAAGGGACCCTAAGTCAGGGAAACCAGATTCTGGCCCTGGTTCTGCCACTCACACGGCTGAGTGGCCATGCTTCCTGATCTTTCTGAACCTCAGTTTCTCCAACTGAAAAGAAGGGTGGTGAAACCTTCCCCATTAGGTTGATGTGAGGATTGGGTGAGTTAAGTCTAAAGTACACAGCTCAGGACCTGACAGAGTGGGTGCCATACATAAGAGTATGTTTAGTATGATTGTTATTGCTTTCAAATAAACCACAATACTATGATGTGAACTTTGCTTCTCAAAGGCTTAGTGAACACACTTTTCTCCTTTTCTCAACCTCGAAAGGGCTGAGCTTGAAGTCCTGTGAAGGTTGAGTGCCTGACTTGGGGCTGAAACTCAGGATACTGCCTCTGGCATCTGGGGTCTGGGGACCAAGGCCGTCAGAGGATTGCCCGGCTATCTGCTGTGAGGATGCCCTGAGAGCACCCAGCTCATGCAGACAGCCCAAGCCTTGGGATACTAGTGACTTAGTTACCCAGTAACTGGTCTCTTAAAAAAAAAAATCTCAGGCCTCATTAATGGCACCAGGATTTAAATCTCCTTTCTTTTGCTGAGGTACTGGCATTCTGGGACTTCCACTCCTTTAATCCCTCTAAATGGATGTGGAAACTGTGCTGATGAGGAGAGATTTGCTCTCTGCAGCCAGAGAGGCAGTGAGCCGGCTAGACTCACAATTTAATGTCTATGATCTGTTAAGCTCTTGGGCTGAGCTCTTCATCAGTGTTCCTGGGGCATCTTTACTGGGGCATCTGAACATGACCCCTCACACAATTGATGCCCAAGGAACCAGGCCTGGTCCCACTTGATATCTGGAGGCAGTGTTTGGGGAAAAGGACAGTGAGTCTAGGAGGTTCCTTGGAAGCACTTTAGCCGTGACGACATAGGCTTCTATAGTCATTGGGCTTAGACCACATATTCTGGTGCATACTCAGAGGCAGAAGGCAGAAGTTTCTGTCTTTGGGAAGAGGCAGTAGAAGGTCACTGAGGCAAGGAAGTTGAGGATATTGGCAATTGCTTGATTACTATGTGAGCTATGGATTCAAAGCAGAAGGAAGTGAAAATGAGGTAGGGGCAATGAGGAAGCCAGTAGTAGAAAGGTTAAAGGAATAGAGGGCAGATGTGTTTGGAAGCTAGGATCACTGTGAGTCAGAATCGACTCAACGGCAACAAGTTTTTTTCTTTTTTTTTTTTTTAATCTTTAGAAAGGTAAATCGCCTGTCTTTCTCCAGCGAAGCTACTGTTTGGACTTGAACAGGCAACCTTTTGATCAGCAGCCAAGAGCGTAACTGTTTACACCACCACAGCTTCTTATGGCCATGGCAGGGGTGGTTAAAGTGGAGTGGAAAGTCCATGAGGTTGAGAAGCTCAAGGAGCTGAGAAGTGGTGAGATTCCTGGGTTTAGCTCCAGACAACCTGGGTTCAAAGTGTCTGGGGTAGAGGAAGGAAGAAGGCAGGTGACTGTGTTGATGGCTAGACAAGGGAAAAGGCAAGGGGAGCAGGAGAATGAGTTTCCAGCGAGAGGTGCTGAAATGAAGCAAATGAGGTCTGAGCTGGATAGTGAAGGAAATGAAGGCGAGAGGGTGCCGGTTGGCTTGGACAAAAGGATGGAGGCAACCAAAAGGAGAGCTCATGAGGTCAGGAAGCAGGTGCAGTGGAGTGAAGAAGAAAAGTCCTAAGCTGGGGTGAAACTTGGTACGTTGAATTACAATTGCAGGTGGAGTGATTTGGGGCATGACAAGGCAGCCATGGAGAAGAGGGTGCAGTGGGCAAGGGGCATCCTCATCTCTCTTGAGCTTTCTGCAGCATTTGACACACTGACACTCTCCTTGAAGCACTTTTTCCAAAAGTGCTTAGAATGAACCAGGAGTCCTCAGCCAACCAAGGAAAAAGTCAGTGTCCCTGGGTGGTGCAGATGGTTAACACATTTGGCTGCTAACTGAAAGGTTGGGGGTTCAAGTCCACCCAGAGGCACCTCAGAAGAAAGGCCTGGTGATCCACTTCCAAAAAATCAGTCATTGAAAACCCTATGGAGCACAGTTCTCCTCTAACACACATGAGATCGTTATGAGTTGGAATAATTCAACAACAACGGTTTACTGGTAGAGAGACAGAGGGCAAAGTGTGGCTGGGTTGGGTGTGCAGAGCCTCAAAAGCCCAGATCCTTCCAGGAAGCGTTTCCTGGCACAGCTTCACACTGTTGGAGCAGAAATCGGCTGCATCACCTGAGAGACAAAATTGAAGTTTTGTGCAGTGCTTGTGGTGAGGAATGCTTCAGGTCTACTCTTGGCAGCTTTTAAATACATGAAAATCCTCCACTTTTAAGAAGAGGCAAGTCCTGTGCAGTGTCCCTTCTGTCTTTTCACCTTTCCTCCTCTCTCTCCCAAACCTTCCTGCCCCTGGCTGGGGTATGAGGGCAGGAATACTCACAAACCCTCCCACCACTACTTTTTCAAATCTTGGGTTCATGTGTGGACTGATTTTAGGAGGGGAGTCCCTGTGTGGTACAAATGGTTAACATGCTTGGCTGCTAACCAAAAAGTTTGAGATTTGAGTCTACCCAGAGGCGCCTTGGAAGAAAGACCTGGCCGTCTATTTCTGAAAAATCAGCCACCGAAAATCCTATGTGGCACATTTCTACTCTGACACTCATGGGGTGCCATAAGTCAGAATCGACCCCACGACAACTGTTTTGTTTTTGGGTTTTAGGAGACACTGAGGTAATAAAAGTTATTATTAGAGGTCACATTTTTGTGGGCTTTCTATGTGCCAGGCACTATTCTGATGGGTTTAAGAACTGCGTTTACCTCATGGGGATGGTGTGAAGCTTAAAGGAGGTAATGTAGGTTAATTGCTGGGCGCAGACCCTGCGCACCGCAGGAGTGCAAGGAATGCTGACAAACATAATTGCAGCTATTGCACCATCTTGTCACAGCAAAGACTGCTTGTTGTTGGGTCCAATGGCCACAATCACAGAAGGGCCCTGAGACAGCACCTGATCCAACCAACCCTTTGCCTGTTGTGTGAATTAGCAGCCCTCTCACCTTTTACACTGTAATCATCAGCACCAACAAGAGCTCGGGGCAGCACTCAGGATACTGCCAAAGGCAGCTGATTTAAGTCCGGTGGTTCTCAGACTTTGCTGCCTATTGGAATCACCTGGGGGGCTTTTAAAACATCCCAATGCTGAGGTCTCCCTCCAAACCAATCAAATCCAAATCTCTGGGGGGTGGGACCCAAGCATCAGGATGTTTTAAAACTCTCCAGGTGATTGCAATCCGTAGCCAAGTTTGAAAATCACTGGCCTAGCCAACAAAACACAAAGCTAGATGGAGTTCGTTATTGTTAAGGTATTGAGAGACCTAACAATTTAAATTTGGAGCAGTGGGTCTCAGCTTTGGCTACACGTTAAAATCGACTGGGAAACTTTAAACAATACTGATGCCTGGGTCCCACCCACAGAGATCTGGATTTGATTGGCCTTGGGTATGGCCTGAGCCTCGGGATTTTTAAAATCTCCTGTATGATTCTAATGTGCAGTTAGGGTTGAGAACCATCTGGTTTAGAGATACCTTTGGCCAAATATGCTTAGAAATTTTTCTAGAAGTTGGCCATTTGTCCTTTCATGTTGCTTCTATTTTTTAAATGCCTGCTATAGCAGGCCTTGTGTACAATGAATAACAGAGATAAAACTCAACCTGACCCTTTTAGAAGGGTAAATAAGATACATATATGAAACAACTCAAATTCCACGCACAAAACAAAAAGCATTACAAGAGGAACAGATAAGGCATGTGCATTAACTTGGCTGCATGAACCTTCCCTTCCTCCTTTCCTTTCCTTGTCATCTTTTTTCTTGTTGTTTAATTATAACCCTACATTAGAATATTTTGGACTTGACTGCTTTCTGGGTAATAGGATTACATGTGGTCACGGTGAAGAAAATAATCTAGAATTAAGTTTGAGTGAGAGAAAAGAGAGTTCTTCCTCTGTTTTCTGGTTTAGAGGAAAGGGACTGAACCAGGATCTGTAGTCCTGAGCTCCACCTAGCTGGGTGGCTGGAGCAAGTCTGTCCCCTACTCTAGCGTTGATAGGGCTTGGAGGGAGTGTGGGGCTGCTCGGATCCCCAATGGCTGTGGGTTGTCCTGGTTTTCCTGGGGGTTGTGGCTCTTCACCATGGCGGCTTCTGCAGACAGCTGCCACCTGGATGATGCAAGGAGCATCAGGGCTGGCTAGGAAAACAATGACAATAAAAATACAGCATTTTAAAACTTTGTATTTGTTTCAGAATTTTATTTATTGCAAAATCAGTATCACAGCAACACAGGAATTTTTAAAAAGGAAGAAATCACAATCCTTCACAACTCAACCCAACCATCTTCATCCAATCATAACTTTTAGAAAGACATTTAAGAACATGCCCAAGGAATAGTGCTGTCCTGTCTGGGAGGACATCTGCTTTGGGAAGTTTCTGTAAAGACCTGGTCCTCAGGTCTGTCTGTGAGGGACTTGGGGAAGGGTGTCCTTCAGCAATCAGCCCTCACCCTTCACTCAGCTGAAAAGGAGATACCAGGACGGAGAAAGGGTGCCTAACAGGTAGATCCTACAAAGTGTAATCTCCCAAAACCGTCTCACGCAATAACTCTGTGGGCCAATGGAAAACGTTTCTTGCTTATCTTTGCAGTCACTTATATAAGAAGAACCTCGATGTAACCAAAATGCGAAAAGGAAAACCTCAGCCGCTTCTCCGAGTGGACGACCATGATTTCACCATGAGGCCCGCCTTTGGAGGTAGGACGGGCCCTCCCTGGCCGCCGTGTGGGGGCCTGGTCACAGGGCTGGGTGGTTACTGCCCTGGCTGTGTGGTTCTCTTGGGCACAGCCCTTTCTAGGCGGTGTAATTTTCCCTCTCACAGTCAAATAAGCCCAACTCTGTTTCCGGAGTCACCAGTTTTCCAAGGAGAAAAGAGCTGGCAGGAAGTGAGTGGGAAGGGTTGTTGAGTAAAGAGAAGCTGACCAGCAACTAAGATGTTTACATTTAGTTAGAACGGAGAACTGCCCTGCTGCTGCCACCTTACTTTTCCTCAAAAATAAATTTAAGAGCAGGCTGGGAAGGTCTGGAATTTTATGTTTTGAGGGGCCGCCTGCTTTCCAAGCAATAATAACAATTTAATACTTTAAAAGACGTCCTCGCAGCCTTGTTCCCGAACGAGTGTGGCTGATTGTGGAGTCAGGGAGTTGGAGTGTGGCTGTCAGCTGTCCTCCCTGGAGCTGGAAAAATGCTACAGCAGGGCCTGGAAAGAGGCCGGTCATCTGCTCTGACCAGGCAGGGAGGTGGGTGAGGATAGCAGAAAACAAGAGATTCTTGGGCCAGCTACCCGCTGGTGCATGTGGGGAAACTGAGGCCTAGAGCATTTCAGTTCTGACCCAGACAGGCCGGCTTCCCTCTCCTTTTTCTCTGCCCTCGGTACTCTCTTAGGGATCAGTGTTCTCCTGGCGTGGAAGACGTAGGGGTGACCTTCTGCGCCTCCATTTGCTCGTTTGTTTAAAATGGAGATAATAATCTCTATGTATGGAGTTGTTGTCAGGATTAAATGAGATAATGTATGTAAAGTCCCTGGCACATATTGGTTCATATCCCGTCAGTAAAACCCAGCTGTCAGGCCTTCCTTTTGTGTGACTGTTAGGGGATTAAGAAATTTAATTGATTCCAGAGGCCTTTGCATTTTAAAAGGTCTCAAAGCCTCCCATTAAACTTCCTCAGCTCTGATACCTGCCAAGCAGAAGGAGAAAAGTAGGCAGCAGATGACAGACTGGTGATGGTGTCTTTCTCCAGCTCTGGGAGAAAGCCGGGAGAGCCAGGAGCAAGCTCTCAGGAATGGCCTGGAAAACCTGGCTCTGAGCAGAACCATCCGAAGGGCTGCAGCCCAATCAGGGGTGCTCCTTCCTCAAGCCATGTACAAGGGCCCTCGGTGGGGCCACCAGAGTGTGGAGGGTCAGGACAGTCTCATCCCTGTCCGTGTAAGCTTCTGACCCTGGCTGGGGAAGGGGCCTTGACTTTGGGGAAGCTGCAGGGGAAGGAGGTGCCACCTCCAGCAGATGTGATAAACCTGAGGCTCCTCTACACCAGCTGTCAGGATCTCAGTCACCAAAGCACAGGGTGGGGGCTGCTCCTCCTTCCTGCCAGCCTGCCCTTTCCCCCAGGGCAGCTGGTCCTCTGGGCCCCTTTTATCCCCTGCACAGCTTTCCTGGATGTCCAGATGTCACTTGGGTGAAACACAGGGAGGGAAGCACATAGTGAAGTCCCAGGGCTCCACACCCCGACCAGGCCATAAATGACAAAGTTTGCCACCACTGGAAGAGACCAAAGGCAGGACCGGGAGCCCTGGTCAACCAGGGGAGATGGGGCAGTTACAGGAGGGGGCTTCCTGCCCCTTGCTCTATCAATGATTTTAATAATCTATGTTCTTTGAGAAAGTGTCCCTGGGTGGCACAAATGGTTAAGCACTCAACTACTAGCTGGAAGGTTGGCGGTTTGAACCCACCCAGAGGCACCTCGGAAGACAGGCCTGGCAGTCTGCTTCCGAAGTTCACAGCCTTGAAAACCCTATGAAGCCTTTCTACTCTGCAACATGGGGTTGCCATGAGTCGGAATTGACTCGACGGCAACTAACAACAATAATCTTTGAGCGCATGGAGTTAGGCTTAGAGCCAAGAGTCCCGCCCTACAGTGCTCCTGAGGGTCCCCATTCCATCCAGCACCTCATTCCTGGGTAGGGAGCACTGCTCAGGGGGCAGGTGTGTCTCTTCAAAGAAGGAGGTAGGCAAACAGCATCTCGGAGACTCTGATAATAGAAGGCACCCCTTTCTCAGGGGCACACCTGTGCCAGGCCCCAATCTGCCCTAAGCGCTGGGGGAAGCCCTGAGCTCAACTTACCCTCGGAGCCAGCCCAGCCTAACACCCTCTTCCATTACAACCACGCACTGAGTGGAGCCTTTGAACAAAGATGTCTGTAGACAGCTTTGTATTCCTGTGGGAAGTGTCCTGTCATTTCCCGTCTTCTCTTTCCTATTTTATTTCTCTAAGAAGGGCTTTCTTGTGGATTTATGTTCAGTAGTTGATGAAGAGGAATTTGTCAAAGACTGGATACCCCTTGAGTGACCTTCTCAGTGTGGAAAGAGAAAAGATTAAAAATCTAGCAGCTTCCTGGTATCCCAGGGATCAGTCAAAACAAAAATACCAAAGCAACCAGCTGTCTGATTGGGGAGTGTGCCCTGGTTAGAAGAACCTCCAGAGGCTGGGCGTTTCTCCTCCATTTGTAGGAGGAGTGTTGCAGTGCTGATTTTTAGTTCTAACTGCATAGACAGGGGGTAAAGGAGAGAAGGAGGGAGTCCCCGAGTGGTGCGAATAATTAATGCGCTTGGCTGCTAAACAAAAGGTTGGAGGTTCGAGTCGACCCAGAGGTGCCTAGGAATAAAGGCCTGATGATCTACTTCCAAAAAATCAGCCACTGAAAATCCTATGGAGCAGCTCTGCTCTGACACTCATTGGGTCAGAATCAATTCCACAGCAACTGGGATAGTGTAATCATGGATTCTCTTGAAATACATCCAAAGAGTATGTCAGAAAGGTCAAGGAAAATGGTGGCAACAAGGTAGGTTTGGTTCTCTGACCAACATGCTTCTGCTCCTAAAACAAACATGAATTTTTGAGCTGCTACTATGCGTCAGGCAGTGTCCTTGGGACCTGGTGATGAACAAGGCAGACACGGTACTAATAGTTTATTCTCTAGCGAGGGAGACACATGTGAGTCACAGCCTCTTATCACGATGCCAAGTTGTGAGAGCTGCTGGGAAGTAGAGTTCCAGGAGCTGTGGCTGTGCACAGCAGGTCTGGGCATGGGCATCGGGGGAGGACCTGAGGAGACATTTTCGAACCCCAGCAAGAGGGCCTTGGTGGTGCTCTTTGATACAATAAATTCAAAAAAACTTGTTGCATTCTAGTCCACTCAGACTCATGGCAACCCCATGTGTGTCAGGTCTACTTATTTGTTTACTTTATTTCAAATAACTAATTGAAGAAAATAATGTAATAAATATATATGCAGACCCTTGTCAATTAATGCTTCCTGGTAGCTTCCGCCACCTGACCGGCATAGTGGCTGACACACTTGCCTCTGTCCAGATTGCTTTCAGGGCCCCTCACAGTGATGCACCCTTGTAAGTTGTCTGGAGTCGCCCTAGCATAGTGGTGAACTTTTCATCAGAGATTAAGACAGAAAGTAGTTTCTCAAATACCAGAGCATTTTCTACCGAGGGTTTTGCGACCCCTACTTACGCCACTGAGCCATGGGTGCATAGTTTGGGAACATCTGTATACATTTATGATCCCTGGTGGTGTAGTGGTTAAGAGCTATGGCTGCTAACCAGAAGGTCAGCAGTTCGAATCCACCAACTGCTCCTTGGAAACCCTATGGGGCAGTTCTACTCCATCCTACAGGGTTGCTATGAGTTGAAATTGACCTGATGGCAATGGGTTTGGTTGTTGGTATATAAATTTATGTTAACTACTCGATCTTTAGTTTGTTTTGGTAATATTTTAGTCAAATCAATCTTTTGATACTTATTGAATTTGGCTCCCCATTAAGCCTAGCCCCTGGTGGCTGCCCGTATAGGTGCCCCTTAATCCCACTGGAGGAGCCAGGGAAGAGGAATGCCAAGGAGCTGCTCTTCCTGGGAAGCTCAGAATAGTGGAGTCCTTTTACATTAAATTACCTTCACATTTTTACATTAAATGATATTTTGTTCTCAAGGAGCTGAGCGTCTACTGGGAAACAGATAAGTGAATCAGTGCAATCAATCAATATCACAGAAACAAAGCAGGGTGACCTTGAGGATGGAGTGGCGGAAATGAGGGAATGAGCGGTCGTTCTGCCCAGAGAGAGTATCCAAAAAGCCTTCACTTGGGAAGTGACACTTGCAGTCAGTGCTGAGACCTACACAGTGGGCGACCACAAGGAGAAAGAAGGGAGATAATCCAGGCAGAAGGATGCTCACAGACAAAGATGCTTGAGCATGAAGCAAGGAAGCCTGTTAGGGGAATGCAAGCGCCTCATGTGGCTGGATTATATCTCGTGTAGTAGGGATGGTGGTGGTGGGGTGCAGGGCAGGGACATACAGAGAGATGAGGCTTGGGGTGGGGGGCAGGCACCAGCTCTTGGGAGGCTTTGCTGAAGAGTTTGGACTCTCAGCAGCACAGCCTAAGCTGAGGAGTGACAGGATCACATGTGTGCTTCAGAAATATCCCTGTGGGCCTGTATGGAGGGTGGTGGGAGGAGCTACGAAGGGATGCAGGACCCTGACTGGGCAATTTAGTGATGGTTCAGACAAGAGATGATGAAGATTTAAGCTAAGGCCTAAGAGAGAAACAAAGGGATCTGGAAAGATGCTAAGGAGGGAGAAGGTCTTGGTGTTAATGGGACCAGTGGCACCTGGGACACCTCTTAAGTGTCTGACTTAGGTGACCAGTTAGAGGTGAGACCATTGACTGAGATGGAGCACAGAGGACAAAAGCAACTGGGAAAAGATATAGTAACAGAAAACAGATGGCAGGCTTAAAGGGGTAATTGAAGAGAGTTTAATGAACTTCTATTTATGGGTGTGGGCAGGGATATAGGAAACCAAGAAGCTATGGTGATGCATCTTGAGGCTGGGGAGGTATTATCAGGCCTAAGCCTGAAGGATAAGAGGAGGAGCAGCTACCTGAACCTGGAAAAGAGCTCTGACTGCAGA